AATCATCAAATGAATAAAAGAGATGTCTGAAAATATATACAAGACAAGAGTAATAGTGAGAAAAACTCACAGACACAGACAATAGTGTGGTGATTACCAGAGAGAAATGGGGGGTGGGGGAGGTAGAAAAGGGTAAAGGGGTGATAAATGGTTATGAAAGGAGACTTGACTTGGGGTGGTGAACACATAATACAATATACAGATGATGCATTATAAAATTGTACCACTAAATTCTATATAATTGTATTAACCAATGTCACCCAATAATTGCAATAAAAAATTAAATTAAATTATTTTTAAAGGAGTAATACTGGTTATCTTTGTTGATGACATGATGGATGATTTTTCAGTTTCTTCATACATTCATGCATTATCAAAATTTTTTCAACGAGCATGCTATCCTATAATTGTAATAAAAATAATTAAAACTATTTTATTATGAAAAAGAGAAGTAATACATGCTTATTGTATATATTTTTCCACTTTAACATTTTACTACATTAATTCTTCAAAACATAACTTTTAAAGCTGTTCAACATTCCATTACACTGATCTCCCAATTTTACCATTTCTCTACTATGGAGACTTAAGGATTGTTTCTAATTTCTTATTGTTAAAAACAACAACAGTGCAATAGATTCCTTCTACCTGAATCTTTACATGCCTCTCTGGTTACGCCCAAGAGCTGGAACTCCAGTTTTGGAGTTACTGGATAAAAGTCAGGGATTCTAGAACACCGAAAAATTGCTGTCCTAAGACACTATGAATTCATGTCTCCATCATTAGTGAATGTGTGAGAGACCATTTCACTCCGTCCCTGAGAACTTGCCAAAGCTGCGTTTGCATGCCAAGCTCCATAAATCAAACAAGTAACAAAAACAGACATACTAACTTCATACAGCAACACATCAAGGCACAATCAAGCTGACTTCACATGTCTTCGACTTTGCGAAATTTAACACGAATGGGCCTTACTCTTCATTTCCCTTTACCTCTTGAAAGTTCAAATTTCTTAGCCTGTCAACCAAAACCTACCTCTTTTCACCTTGTTCATCTGGCTCCAGCCACTCTTGCCTCCTTGCTGTTCCTCAAACACATTTCACACGCTCTGCCCAAACGCTTTTGCCTGGATCCATAGGGCTCACCCTCTCACTGACTTCAGCCCTTTGCTCCGAAGTCCCCACACCCCACCGACGCTGTGGGAATTAGCACCCCCTTCTCCAGCCTCCCTGGCTACTGATTTGCTCTGTTTTTCTCCAGCATTGACACAGTATGATTTTTTAAAATTATTTTCCCAACATTTTCTGAAATTAAAAAAAAAAATCCTCCAAGGCATTGCCATCCCAATTCACACAAACTATAAGTCTGTCTCCTTATCATAACAGGAACCAAGATCAGCTCTAGCACAACTTATTTCTAAGCCCTCCCTCCTACAATCGTTATACTGATGTCTTCTCCATGTTGGCCTCTACCCATGCGAATACCCACAATCCAATGCGGCTCACTGAGGAGCTCCGTCCGCTCTGCCCTCTCCGTGCAATAACCTTTCGGAAAAGATGCTGCCCTTTGCATCTTCCTTTTCACCTTCATTGTACCCAGGCTCTGTGTCCTCTACAGCAGCCAAATCCACAAAGATCAGTATCAATATAATCAGATAATTCCTACTAAGGTGTGTGTGATTCAGTAACTGAGAGAAAAGCAAATTCTTGGAGTTTCTAACTGGAAAAAAAAAGATGGCTTGTGTTCTTTTTATTTTTTTTTATTTTTTATTTTTTTCGCTAAAAGTATTACAAAGGGTATTACATAAGTGTCCTTTTTTCCCCCCCGCCCTTGACAAGCCCCTGCCCTCCCTTACCCCCCAGTGTCTTATGTCCATTAGTTATGGTTATATGGATGCATACAAGTCCTTCGGTTGATGGCTTGTGTTCTTAAGACATTTCCATTCCATTTATTTCTTCAAACTTTGCCATCTCTTTTCTTTTGTCTTAGTCTTTCCACCTGCAAAGTCTTATTATAGTTTGACATTATCTAAGAAGCATCTATCTCCCTTGTGTTTGTCATGCCATTTAGCACTGACCTCCTCCCTCTGAACAGCAAAGGATGCCTCCTTCTGACACTCCTCCTCCCTAAGCAAGTGTTTTTCTACCTCAGTGAGTCTCCCTTTCATATTGGATTTCAGCCTCTCCTTCAAAATGTATTTGAAAGCTGCCTTTCCACATATCACTTCCACCCCTTGTTTCCTACAGGGACTAGGCATCGGATCCGTGCACTCGGTCCTACGTAAAATGCTGGCTTTTAGATGTCATTACACACTTCAATTATTTTCAGGAGTAACTACTTGGAGATTAAAAAAATATATATCTTTTCAAAAAAGACAACCTTGATGTTGTTTATTGTCCTCTCTCATTATAATAAGCAATGCAACGTGTTTGCTTTCTTATGTTGTATATAAAGACTATTTCATGGCTGCAATGAACTAAAAACATTTTTAATTTCATTTTTCCTTGAAATGTAAAATAAAGGCAGCGAATGTTTAAAGAACCATATGTAACAACCTGTACTATTTTGATGGTAGAATAAATTATTTTTAAAACAAACAATGATACTTTTCTATATTCTACACCAATATTTCCTGAGATGCCCTCAGCTGCTCACTGCCACATGATATATGAAATATTCCCTCAGAATGAAATCCTTCCTTAGGTCCATGAAAGACTACTCACCAGACTTCTTTGCTTTCAAAGCAATGACAGCTGCTAGCTCTCTCTGCACCTAATAAAATATTAAGAAAAAAATCAATTAGAATAAGAAAAATGTAGATATCAAAAGCTGTACTTTGTTTTTATATATGCAACCCAAATTAAGAGCTATAACAATCAGAGCTAAATTTGATGCCACTTTTTGGGTTTTTGTTTGATTTTAGTAATGTGGAAAAACCTCTGCATAGAAATTTTAAGCTAAAAAGCTGAAAGAATCATCGTGATCAAAAAGAAATTAGATGGTTGCCAGAATGTATCATGAAACATTGGTATTTTTGCTGTACTTATGGGAAGAACTTCAAAAATATAATTATCAAACACTCAGAAGTAATTCAAATAACAAATTATTAAAGCAGGCATGTATGTTGGCAAAGATATAACTATTATTTATCTCTCAAAGATTCTAGCTTACACAGAAATTCTACAACAATTAAGATAGGTGACCCTGGTTTAACTGGACCTCTGCCCAAACACAATAAACGTTCATTTGAAATCTGACAGGTTTCCAGCAAACAGTTCAGAAAATATGCCACATAAAAGCAAGTGCTACCGAGTCATAGGGTAGGTGAAGTAGGAATAGACAAGACAAACTTAAAAATCCTAAGTGCTGTAACACCCCTCTTATTTGTCCAGATTTTTGCTTGCTCATTCTCTGTCTCTCAACCCCACATATTTGAGTGCTTAAATCCTTTCCTAAAAGCTTTCCAGAAGAGACAAAAAAAAAAAAAGTTAACTACAATCACTTTCAAAGAAAAAAAAGTAATGAAGATTAACTTTGGGAAATCTGTGTTGGGCAGCAATTAAATATTCCATAACAAGAAAGCTCATGCCCCTACAGGACACAGTCTTTGAAGCTTAGAAGTGTGTGTCATCACACTTCTAAGGTGTGTGGAGGTGGAGGAGGTGGAGGTGGAGGTGGAGGTGGAGGTGGTGGTGAGTTTGGAAGGGACCTGATAATGAATTTTAAAGGGAGAATGTGGAAGTTCAAGGTTAAAGAAGATTTGCTGTTGAGATTCGTTTAATTTGTATTTATTTACTTGTAGGCAAAAGTAGCACAATATGCTAGACACTGGGACTCCACCTAGGGACCAGGTTCACGGTGGCCAGGGCATCCTCACCCGGAAGACAGCAGCTTCTGTGGCACTGCTCTGCGGCCTTGCTTTCCCTGGCTGGCAAGTCCCGGTGCCATTCAAAAGGGCATATCCCTTATCATGCTAAGTGAAGTAAGTCAGTCAGAGAAAGACAGGTATCACATGATGCACTCACATGTAGGATCTAAGTAACAAAATAAACTGATGATCGGAGAGGATCCAGAGACATGGAAGCATGGAACAGAGTGCAGAATCTCAGAGGGAAGGTAGAGGAGGGTGGGCGGGTGGGAGGTAATAAACCAAAGACCTTGTATGCATATATGCACAACCCACAGACACAGACAATAGAGTGCTGAAGGCCTGGGGGCAGGGGTGGGGGCGGGGGTGGGCTAGAGGGGGTCAATGAGGAAAAAAGAAGGACATATGTAATACTTTCAACAATAAAGAATTATTTTTTTAAAAAGGGTATACTCTTGATTTAGCTGATTCTTTGATGCCTTAAAACTCTCTCCAGAAACTTATATAGTAACTAGAGTGCACGGGCAGGGTCCCTAGGCCTGGCCTGCGATCAGGGCTGATCAGGTTCCCCACCTCCCCACTCTCCACTTCGTCCTTTCCCTCGCTTCCTCA